TGTGACCCTGTATAGGGTTTATGAGGAGCAACTGGTGAACTTGAACTGCCGACCTTGCAGTTCAAATGACTTTGTGGTCTGCCACATTAACCCACAGCGCCACAAGAGCATTAGGCTTTACTTAATGGTTTCTAAACGTTATTCCTATAAATAATTTATGTCACCTCTAACAAGATAGGTAGAAAGTACTGCCGGAAGGTGCCTATTTTTTTAAAAAAAAACTTTTATTGTGAATTGAGTGAAGGTTTACAGAGCAAATCATCAGTTTTACATTCAACAAGTCATATACTTTGCTTCATTACATCATTGTAATCCCCTCCATTCACCAACACTTTACAGCATTTACCTCTGTTCACTTTAGCCACTGCATTCCTACCTGTGTCTCCTGCCACCCCCATCTTTCCTCTGCCAACCTCCCTCCAGTTGTGTATCGCCAGCCCTGTCACCCATGTCAACATGTGTCTACCCTCTAGCGCATGTATCATTTCCTACTCCCCCAAAACGATCATAAATTGTTTCTTTTATCAAGAAAAAAAAAATCTCGCAGGGATATACAATCATTTAAACAGCCAAGGGGCACATTCTGGAAGCCAACCTCCTGGTCGCTATCATATAACCTTTATCTTTCCATGAGTGTAGAGTCCTCAGCTGCTCTATCTCTCCATGCCATCATCTCTGGTGTCGCTGCTACTCTGGTTAGGGCCCTACATTCTGCTCATGGTCTTCTCTTGATGGTCCTGGGGTCCTCTTCCTAGAATGTACGGTTACCTATCACCACCACCACCCTTTTTGTTACACAGCTTCTACCTTTATAGTTGTGGCGATCACAGGTTTGAACCGTTTGTCATTATTGACACAAATGAATCCTATCCCCATCTCCTTTCATTATACCCATCTAGACAAGAAGAAAACTATTCAGTGGAGATTCTACCCCCTCATGTCCCCCCACACACACACTCTGAAACTGAACTCCCTCTTAAAAATTGTAAACCAGCCACTATGTGCCTTTACAGCCCCCCTCACCCCCATTTTAGGTAGCCAATGTCTAAGTTGCCCGTCCCTATCAACCCTGTATACAGATGGATAGGTTTGGCGCTGTGGGTTAATACACCAGACTGCAAAATCATTTGAACTGCAAGGTCAGCAGTTCAAGCTCACCAGTCACTCCTCGGAAACCCTATACAGGTTCGCTATGGGTCGGAACCGACTCAACAGCACGTAACAAAAACAAGATGCTTTTATACACAGAGAAATCATCTCTAATATCGGCTCTCAAACTTGTTAAATTCTTAGAGAGCCATTATTCTAGGTGACTTCTCTGTATATAAAAGCCCTGTAAGACAGTGAGCTTTGAGGTGAAACTAATTATTTACAGAAATAATTTAGAAGCTGCTGAATAAAACCTGATCCCCACCTGTAAAACATAACTTTCTTTAACATGTGGAAATCGCAGCCATTAGGTGGTGAATTTGGCAGAGTGATAAATTCTTAATTAAACTTCTTATTGTCTAGTGTGTTATTCTCCACTCAAGGTTAAATTAGAGAAAACAGCCATGTAGATCATAGCACGTGGCAGTTCACTACTGTGAGTTGGAGCAAGCATACTTGTCAGCATGTTACTCGTTTCCTTTGCCTTCTGGTATTAAATCTTTTGTTGTTTTTGTTAAGTGCCAATGAATCCGTTCCAACTCATTGCTACCCTGTGTAGGGTTTCCTAGGAGTGGCTGGTGGGTTTGAACTGCTGCTCTTGTGGTTCACAGTCCAGTGCTGATCCTACAGCACCACACTTTTAATATTTGGAAGCCTTTAATATTTAAGGCTAGGCCTTAATTAGTATGTATCAATAAGTATGTATTATTGATACATACTAATTAAGGCCTAGCCTTAAATATTAAAGGCTTCCAAATATTAAAAGTGGTGCTGTAGGATCAGCACTGGACTGCTAACCTCAGTGTCATAAGTTCAAACACACCAGTTGCTCCTCGGAAATCCTATACAGAGCTACTATGAGTCAGAACACAACCACCACCACCACCATCAAAGAAAAAATAAGCTTGATTGTAGTACAATTATGCTCTAGTTCAATTCTTTATAGGCCAGATCAGTATGAGAATCTATTCCAATTTACCATTAAATATTTGATATATATGTGTGTGTGTGTGTGTGTGTGTGTGTGTGTGTGTGTGTGTATACATACATATACATGTTATTGTTGTTGAGTGCCATCAAGTCGGTTCCAACTGATAGCGACCCTGTACAGGGTTTCCAAGGCTGTAAATCTTTATGGGAGCAGAAAGCCTCATCTTTTTCGCGCGGAACCGCTGCTAGTTACAAACTGCTGACCTTAAGGTTAGCAGCCCAATTCGTAGCTACTACGCTACCAGAGCTCCATGTATATATGCATATGTGTATATGTTGTTTTTAAGTGCCATTGAGTTAGTTCTGACTCATAACAACCCTATATGTGTAGGCTTTCCAAGGAGAAGCTTGTGGATTTGAACCACCAACTTGCAGGTTAGCAGTCCAGTGCTTATCCTACCATGCCACACCATGCCGCACCAGGTCTCCATAAATAGAATTTAAATGTATTTTATTATCAGTCTTGGAGTTCTTGTTTGGTTCTAATCTTAGCCAAATACACAATCTAAAATTGAATTTAAATCCAATATTTGTAATCTCAGTGCTGGGCACAGATTGACAAAAAAAGAGTTGCATCTATTTCAACTCATGTCAACACTGTGTATCACATTAGAACTGTGCTTTGTTTGGTTTTCAGTGGTTGATTTTTCAGAAGTCCATCACTCGGTCTTTCTTCCAAGGTAGCTCTTGATGGACTTGAACGTCCCACCTTTCAATTAGCAGCCAAGATCTCCGCTAACCATTTGTATCACCCAGAAAAAGGCCCAGAATGTTGTTAAGTGCTCTCAAGTCAGCTCCAATTCATAGCACACCTGTACAGGGTTTCCGAGGAGCAGTTGATAGATTCGAACCACTGACCTTGCAGTTCAAACCCAATCTCCTAATTAGACCTGGTCAAAATAGTCTCTACTAGAATACACAGGTTAGAGTACACAGGTTAGACTGACTTCTGAAAGTAAGGAAACGAGAAAGATAGCATTTATTTCATAATCAGCGCAATCTGGGTATGGAAATATGTGTGTACATATGTAGAAAAATCAGTCAATAATTTGTATTTGGTTTGGGGGGGATCAACTTCTGGTTATGTCTAAACTTGTTAAGGAGTCCTGGTATGGCATTGAAGCATTCCTCTTCTTACCTTTCACTTACAAAAGTAATTGTGTTGAATTGGTTGGTTTCTACAAGCAGTAAGCCAGTAAAGTCCAATAGAACTGAAGAAGTATAAATTTTTCTATTGTAAGATAAAGAAATAACTTTGATAGTTTGGAAATTCTAGAAAGATAATCTAAGTAACTAAGGATTTTTAAAAGAATGAGTTATTTGTCAAGCTACACAAAATGCTTGTGATTTCTTCAAATTGATTCCATAGTTATATAATACATTGTGATTAAATTATTTACTTTTGATATTATTGATAGACCAACTTAGAATTATTTAATGGCCCTAAACATGGGTGAAACTTTAATTACTAGACACTCTTCAAATAACCAGTACAAAATTATCAAGGGATATATATTTTCTCATCTCAATGCCATCATTAACTTGCTGTTGCTACAAATATTTGTGTACTTCCCTTTCTGTAGTAACAGAATAAAATTGCCATGGAGGTTTATAAGTAAAGAACTGAATTTGACTGTAAACATTGACTTTAAGGAAGTGTTGCTCAGTAACTATTTTATATGTAAAAGTGACCTCATCAAAAACTGGAAAGTATTGTTGGATACCAGCAGCAGCTGCAGGGGCTGTCTTCTCTGGCTCTCTTTGCCTTACTCCTTTCACTTCTGGAAACATGACCTCTGCTGTGGCTGTCTCTGATGATGTCATCAAGGTGTTCAATAACATGAAGGTGCACAAATCATCGACGCCAGATGAGGTGAAGAAGGGCAAAAAGGCAGTGCTCTTCTGTTTGAGCGAAGACAAGAAGAACATCATCCTAGAGGAGGGCAAGGAGATCCTGGTGGGTGATGTTGGGCAGACTGTCAATGACCCCTATGCCACCTTTGTCAAGATGCTGCCAGACAAGGACTGCCGCTATTCCCTCTATGATGCAACTTATGAGACCAAGGAGAGCAAGAAGGAGGATCTGGTTTTTTATCTTCTGGGCCTCTGAGTCTGCACCCCTTAAGAGCAAAATGATCTATGCTAGCTCCAAAGATGCAATCAAGAAGAAGCTGACAGGGATCAAGCATGTTACAAGCAAACTGCTACAAGGAGGTCAAGGACCGCTGCACCCTGGCCGAGAAACTGGGGGGCAGTGCTGTTATCTCCTTGGAGGGCAAGCCCTGTGAGCCCCCTCCAGCCCCCTGCCTGGAGCATCTGGCAGCCCCAGACCTGCCTGTCGGGGGCTGGCTGGGGAGATATTACAGGTTGAATCTCTTCACCCCAGTTGCCAAACAGCCCCCACCCCCTGGACCTTCCTCCTCCTTCCACCCTTGAAGGTTCTGGCCTTCCCAAACTGCTTTTGATCTTCTGATTCCTTTTGGGTTGAAACAGATCAAGTCCCCCCACCAGGCACCCCAGTTTGGGAGGGGTTTGTATTTTTTTAATGACGCCTCCACCCCCCACCCCCCACCTCCATTCCAGGCTGCCAACTTCTAACTGCATAGTGACACTGTCCTTGTCTGTTTAGTTATGTGTATAAATGGAATGTTGTGTAGATGACTCCTCCCGTGCAGGCTGGTTCCCCTACCCTTTTCCCCTGGTCCAGCCACTTGTTTGGAGATAGGTCCAGTAAGGAACCTTCAATTGAAGAGAAAAAAAAACTGGAAAGTACTAAAAACCATTTTCGGCTTGTTAATAAATGATCCCAACTGTACATGAAGTTATCTGATGAATATGTTGCTGTTCTCTGTTTATTTTAGGTGTGGAAGTTAAAGAAACAAAAATACTTTGACTGGGGCTTTAAGCAAGCAAATGCTAAAAAGGTATTATGTTTATATTTACAAGCTATCTACCCATTGTTTTTAGAGAACTTAAACTATTTCCCTTTAAGCAGAAGTCATTTAAGCCAATCAGAGAAATAAGCAAAAGTTTTTATCTTAAATATCATAAAAGAAGGCAATGTCACAATCATTTCCATTACCAAATAAAGTTTATCCACTACTTGCTGTTCCTGCCTGACATCCTCAATCCCTTGTCTACATTTTTCTCCAGTCTTTTTTTCTTAATTGAAAGGTTTCATTGGTCTTTTTTAATTTTTATTTTTAGCACATTCGCTGGGTTAGGTACCAAAGACACTAAAATAGGTTATCATCATTAGTTTTTGACACATAAACCAAAAGCAAGTCATTTAAAATCTACTTAGCAGTTAGAAACTAGGCCTACAACATTTATAAGTTCTGCAGTTGGAAATAATTGCTAGACTACTTTGAACTAGCAGAGTATTTCCATTGAAAAAGGAAATAAATTTTTTTCCAAGTATAAGGGTAGCTCCAAGAATAAAGTATCAGAAGAAATGAGGTTTTTCTAGCCAAATTATAGGAATTTGGCAATGAGTATTAACATGACAGTGTGATCATAATTGCTTCCAATAACTTATCTAGATAGAACTTCAATCATATTTCTTTGGCATTGACATTTTGCTGCTTGATTTGTGCAGGGATAGCTACTTAGTTACTTAATTTTCCTTGATAGAAATAATTATCTTGTGATAGTTGGGTTTTTTTTAGAAAACTTTAATCTGTAATCTTATATTTTATTAAAATTTGGTTATGTTGTCTTGACCTTATAAACTTTAAAAATTTTAACCATTACTACTATAAAATAAATACTTTTTTTTTTTTTTTTTTTTTTTGCGGGAGAGAAGGCTTGTAAATGACATCTAGAAGGCCAAAGAATGTACTTTGAAATAACGTTTTCAAGTTTCTCGGACTCTCCTCTGTGAATCATCTATACTGTTGTAATAGCTACTTTACATTTGGTATTTCTGTGAGAATGGCTAAAGGGAGAGTTTTCAGAAAATCCAAAGAAAGTGAGGATACCCAGAAGTCATGAGGTATCCAGCCAAAGCAGATTTGGAAGAAACAGCCAAGATTTGAGATGGTCTCTCTTATACACAAAACAGTGAGCAAGTGCAGTAAAACCTGTGTAAAGCAGAAACCTGTCAGAGAAGGAAAATATCAGAAGGAAAAGTGGTAAAACTGCACTCTGTCAAAGGGGGAAATTTTACAAGGCCTGGTAAACAAGGCAGCCCCATTGAGTTCCAATTCTCTTAGTTTTCATTGATACCTTGTTACTGTTGAATTCTTTGTAATAGTGATTTTAGAGATATTCTAATCTAGGACTTTAAATTTTGGGGTGAAAACCAGTAGAGTAGAAGACCTCTTTGTTTTGGTAGCCAATAATCAAGGAACTGATTTGAAACTAAGGGACATGAAATGGCATAAGACAAATTCTTACCGCCTATAAAAATATAATCACCCTTTTATAAAAACTCAACTCACACAGTATTCTAACTCCAAACTTATATAACAAATGCTGGCTATAGTAAGATTGTTGGATTTTTCTGTTTGATCATTTTAGCTAAAAGGAATTCTGAACACATTTGCCTTTAAACTCTAAGAAGCCAAAAATTACGGAGGCCAAAGCCTCAAGATTTCTAATTACTATAATGCCAATAATTAATTACTAGTCAGAGTCAAAGTAAGTTGTGTGAATTTTTGGAACCTGAAATACAGTATAAGAATTTGAATTAGATAAACTGATTTGAAGGATAAGTTCTTGATTTGTGAAGCTGATTAATGGCTCGTTTGAACATTATTTTACTCTAGATTAGCACAACCCTAAAGTTAAAATATAAGCTATAATCTGTATCCGCAGTTTATGTTTATAATACTTGAAATATTCCTTTTTTTCTTTGATATTGCATGCTTCTGAGAACTTTTTCATCAATAACAAAAGGTTGGCATCTAGGCCCCATAGAAATCTAATTGTTATGGTAGTTTCTGTGTATTGATTGGTTAATAAGATAGATAGTTTCGGATTAAAAACCTATTTCATATATTTGCTACTGTTGTATTGTCATTTATTGTTAAGTGCTATCGAGTCAGTTCCTATTCATAGCGAACCTATATAGGGTTTCCAAAATAACTATATAGGGTTTCCAAAGAGCAAAGAGTGTGAATTTTGTAGCACTGTAGGATAAGTACTGGCTGCTAACCACAAGGCTATCAAACCTACCAACTTTCACACCTGCCTACCCAAGGAAGGTCTTACCATGCCTCCTTAGGATAAACGTTGGACCGCAAACGACAAGACTGGTGGTTCAATCCCACCAGCCACTCCACCAGAGAGGCTTTCTGCTTTCACAAAAGATTCAACGTCTCAGAAACCCTACGTAGGGTCTCTATGATTCTAAACCAACTCCACAGCAGTTTTATAACAACTAAAACAAGCTGCTCCTTGGAAACCCTTTGGGTTGCTATGAGCTGAAATTGATTTGAAGTGATCAGAAATATCTTAAAGATGAGGAGACCCCCCTCCTTTTCTTAGTGATAATACATTTTAAGACAAGTGTTAAAATATTTTAAAAACTCCTATATTTTCATTCATTTGGATATTAAATTACCAAGATGGTATGAAGTTTTTATTCTCAGGCAGATTTGTCACCTCAAATCTTACTTGATAATAGTATAAAAGCTAGTTTACTTGAACAATATGGTACATGTACAAAATAGTCCCTCAAATTGAAGAGAAATTATTTTTACTAAGAAAGTGACACTTTGTTGACATTTGATCCAAAACCTACCATTAGTAAGCATTCTGTCGGGTTTATTTTAACTTTGTGTATGTTCATTTAAATAGGTTTCTATGTTAGGTTGCAGTGCCAAAACAGTTTCATTAGATTAAAAATCTTCAATATAAAAGGGTGAGTCAAAAATTATCCACATTCTGTTTATATAAAAATGCCTGTCCTCTACCATGGCTGCTGGTAACAGTGAGTATGCAAGTGAAATGTTTCTATTGAATAGGTGAATGACAGTGGATTATTTGGCAAATCATTTGCTAATTAGCCATGGCTTGGCCTATGAAATAATCCATGACAAATTTAGGTTCTGAAAAGTTTGTACAAGATGAGTACCGAAACAACTCTCGGAAGAGAATAAACAAGCATTTGGACATCTGCAAACCAAATTTAGACTGATACTCGAGGGAAGGTAAAAGGGTTTTTTTGTTGTCATTTTTTAATCATTACTGGTAATGAGATACAGATTCATCACTACGAGCCTGAGCGTAAACTGCAGAGTATGGAATGGCAAGATCCTCAATCACCAACCAAGAAAAAGTTCAAAAGTCAACCTTCAGCTGGAAAATTGATGCTTACAGTTTTCTGGGATTCTCAAGGGCTAGTACTGGAACACTATCAGGTAAATGGTTCAACATCAACAGTGCTCCATACTGTGAGATGTTCACTGGAAAGCTGAAAGTTAAACTTTTTTAGATTACATGTAAAGGACTGTTATCCAAGGGCTTTGTGATCTTGCACATCCCCCTACCTCTGCCTACATTGTTGACACTGCAAAAACTTCCTTTTGAGGTGTTAAAGCATCCTCCCTATAGCCCTGATATTGCTCCATTGGACTTTCACCTGTTTGGTCCCCTGAAAGCAGCCCTTTGAGGATGACGAAGGTTCACCTCTGAAGAAAAAGTAAAGACAACGGTGCATTTGTGGATAGCAGCTCAGTCTAAAACATTTTTAAAATAAGGGACTTCACAAGGTTATTGACAGATGGACAAAATGTATTGAAAAGCAAGGAGATTATGTCAATAAATGATGTATATGTCTTTTCTAAAAGTTGATTAAAATAAATTCTGCAGCCAGAGTGTAAATAATTTTTGACTCACCTTCATATATATTGAAAATAAAATACATGTATATATATTATACTTGAAATTTTCTGGGGTATTTTGTCTTGGTTTATCTCTTAAGTCTTTCAGTTACTTTGTAAATTGTTCATATTTATTAGACAAATCTATATTAATTCTGGATATAAAGTCTTAAGGCTATAAATCAATTTTATCTTTAATCATTTTACAAACCTCACAGGGTTGTCATGAGGATTTAAGTAGATAATACCTATGAAGAGCTTAGCATAATACCAGGTACATGTTAAGCAGTCAAGAGGTAATTTTTTGTGTTATTCTGCTTTGTTTTTTATTGTATATAGGAAATACAGCTTTCATGATTTTAGCAATCTAGTTGATACTCACTAGCACACAGATTTGGCTCCTACTACTTCCCAAAGTCTTAACAGGTAGATGTCCAAGAACTTCGTCAGTTTTTAGTAGGATTCTTGGGAGTGGGAATTGGAGGGAACCAAAGAGCATTCATAATCTCTTCCCTGGTCATTTTAGGACTTTTCAGAATCAACACAATTCAGATGTCCACAGCAGAAATATCCTTTATACTGTACCCATTGCCAAAAAGTCAGTTCCAACTTATAGCAACATTATGTGGATGCAGACTGCCACATCTTCCCCACAGAGTGGCTGGTGGATTCAAACTGCCAATTAGCAGTCAAGTACTTTAACCACTGCATTACCAGGGCTCTCAGATCCTTACCTAGTGATCTCAGATAAAGATAGTATTTATTTTAGTCTTTTTCCCATCTGACTGATGAAATTGTTTCTTCTGACTTTACCTACAAAATTAGGAAATAAGGAAAGGAATGGAAGATAGCAGATCCTGTACAGAATACAAGCATTTGAGATATACTTCAGGATATAGTATTATGGCCAGTTACTATTTTTGAAACACTTGGAATAGCTTCCCAGGGAATATTTTACTACCTAGACTTCAAAAAGCTTATTTGTCTTTGAGTGCTAATTTTACTTGAAGGAGTTTAAGAAGGAATTTGTCTAAGCTACTGTATCTTTTTTACTTTTTGAATATCCTCTATTTCAAAAACTATATAAAAAAGGGGGGGGGGAACCTCTCTAAAGCATATCTTCTATGATTGTAAACCATAGGCCTCATACAGTATATTGATAATGTTGTTAGGTGCCATCGAGTCGGTTCCGACCCATAGTGACCTTGTACAAGGTTTCCAAGGAGCCGCTGGTTGAGCTTGAACCACTGACCGTGCATTTCAGACCAACTATTTTGTAGTACAGTGTATTAACCCACAGCTTCACACCAGGTCTCCATGTTGATAATAGCTGTTGTTGTTACGTGCCGTAGAATAGGGACATAATAAATATTGGTTGATGATGGTAGTGATGGAAGCAACAGAGTTAAGTAAATTCTGAGAGAGGATTTGAGAGTTGTAAGTGTCTAGTTGTTATGGTAATTAGGATTACCTGGGTCACAGACAAACTAACCAATAATGTGAACTAGAAAATATATATACAGGAGGGCTTTCAAAAAGTTTATGGGCAGAGCCATTGCCATGCTGCAATGAGTTTCGATGACGGGTAAGACTGAGGAATTTGCACTGACCGCCTAAGACAGGCAGCATCCCTTAAACAAATAATAAATAAGGGGGAATGTGATGCAGACCATGCAGACCCGGTCAGGAGTTCAAGTCCCTGTGGGCCCAAGCGTTGCTGACCGACCAAACCATAGGCTCTAAGGATCAGACTTGAGCCACCTAGCAGACATAGCAAAATGTCCCTTATCTGATTAT